GTGGTAAACACGCATGATTTACGCACGCTTCTTGATGGACCACGAAAAAACTCCTCCGGCCAGCTTGTCGTCTTCATTGCCTTCCGCTGCTTTATTCGGGTGTTTTACAAGGTAGGTTAACTTTCACAAAGCTTTAGGAAAACTGCTGTGTTTATGGACATGCTCGCTAATTATCACGTGATTGAGTACATGTAATCTGTATTTTATATGTAATTTTGCAGTTTCTGCATTTACACAGGACCTCAACCGCGAATTAAATACCGAGTTGCAGGAGAGAACAGAAGTAGTTATTTTTAGCCAAATTTATGCGTTTGCTTCCAATAATCAAAGATGCTTGAACATTATTTAACTCGTGATGTTATCTTAGAATTTAGTTATTTCCGTGGATAGGTTCCGTCATTTGTTTTTTTAATTTTCTTTTTTAAAAATCTAAATGCAGGTAAAGGTACTGTCCGGAAGGACAACAGCAAGAAGACGTAAGGATGTATTCTGGTAAATCCGAAATTCAGATGCAGAAATCCACTGCGCTCTTTGGAATGGTCAATAATCATCAAAACCCCATAGCCACGGAGTTTTCCGGAATGACCTTTGCCCTGTACAGCAGTAAATCACAACGATGTGCGAAAAACGCCGGGAATGACAGCAGGGATGCCGAGCTCAGGAGAAGTCCTCCCGACAGCGCCGGTCAGTTGCCAGACCGGAGCCCTTCGACACTTTCGGCCGGAGCCGAGCGGTTTGCTCTGTTTGACAAGCAGCCTGGACACCCGGCGCTGAAGCCTCAGCGCTTCCCCCGAGAGCCGACTCCAGGTGAGATCGCTTCGACCAAAAAAAAAAAAATCTACATTTCACAACCACCTTTTCTTAAAAAAGCTGCCAAATTCCGAAACGGACTTGAGCTTCTGCCTCATTTCTTTTGCGCGTGGTTCTGCTCTGCTCCGAGTTTGTCGCTGAGCTCAAAGCTTTGACCTCGAGGTACATAATGTGGAATGGTCTAGGATTTTTAAAAACCTTTGCTTGCTGTGCTGGATATGTATTGATTGAATTAAGCGAGCTTAATTAAACGGTGTATTGTGGTTTTACGTTTTTATCCTTTAAAAAAAAATATTTGCAAACTGAAACTCTTTGGGGGAAAAAAAACATCTGATATCAACTAACATTAAAGGCCACGGTTTTCCCTTGATAATGAGTTCAGATTCATTTTGGACATATCATGTTATGATTAAAACCTTAAAGCTTTCTGTTATTTGGTACTCTTGCACAATCTCTTTAGACCTTAGCTGATTTTGATGTTCTCTAGCCTGATATAAGGGGAAAGAGCACTGTTTTGCATTCAGGGACAATTGCCTATACTAAAAAAAAACCCATGATGGTTACAAAAGAGAAGAGGAGGACATCTGGCCCATTAGGGGGTCAGTAGTTAATTGATCCCAGGATCTTATCCAGCTGTTTGAAACAAGCCAGTGTATCGGCTTCAACTACGTGTCTGGGTAGCTTGTCCCAGACTCCCACAACCCTCTGTGTAAAGAAGCGTCCCCCTTTTTTCAAACCTAAAAGCACTTTCCTGTGGCGTCCGCTTGTGTGCTCTGGTTCCCAGTATTTTAGTGGCATTTTAGGAGAGCTTACCTGGGGCCATAAGAATTCATTCACCCCTTGTAGTTATTGCTGTAGCAGAAGGAATCAACAGGGAAGCGCTGTGGACTTTATTGAATAGATTCTTCTCCACAGGTCATCAGAAAAAAAAAAGAAAACTCGCAAGAACGCGCAGTGTTGTGTGGGGCACATTTTCCACCGATCGACTGTATTTTCACTGAGCGTGGATGCCAGTTAATGTCAATTTGAAACTGTTCAGCTGAACGGAACAGAGCTCTGGCTTCGCTGTCTTGGTTGCGTCGTTCACATACCCACGTTTACTATATGTTCCTGCTCGTCCATCGCTAGGAGTAAAACAAACAAACAAACAAACAAACAACAAGCCCTTAGAAAAGCCGCTTTTGGCAGCTCCAGCTTAGAGAAATGATTTCGATCATTATTGTTAATAATGCGGATGAGACCTGTGGTAAACCTACTGCAGCGAAGCCTGCCGCTAGACTGGCGGACTCGCCTGTGCCTGTCTCCCTCTGCTGTCCCGACTTGTACTTTCTGACACGAACAAGCGGTGAAATCGCATGCGGGCTGAAGAGGAAGGCTCTTGATCCTGAACCCCCTCCCCAGCCCTGCGATCTGCAAATCATTTTAATCTCTGCGTATTTTAAATCTTTTCATCTGCTTGATTTTTTCCATACATTGTCAATAATCTGATAACCCAAAGACTGTATAGTACATGTATAACATAGACTATAAATCTCATTACAACACATTTAGATCATCTGTTATATGTAATGCGTGCATCCATGAATTTGGATGTACATGTAGTAAACATTTTAATTTTGCTGTCTTCTGTACTGATAAATTAAACACTCACAGTGCCGTGCAATCTTACTGTAGTTTTATGCAAAAGGCTAAATCGGTCTTATTTGTAAAACTTTTCAAGTGATTTAGATATTAGAATCCAGAAGCTTTGGCTTTTTCACGTAAAAGACACAAAAAAAAACAACTACCCCTTGGAGTTTATTTCCCTTTAAATGGGTATTTGTTGTGTCTGTAAAAACCACCAGGGTTTACCGTCTAAAAACATGTGTCATATTTTCTGAAGCCATGGGAATGCTATGTAAAAATGAGTCTGGAAGCAAGTCTAAACACTAAAAACAGTGTTAACATCACTCTTATATAGGACTTCCTACATATTGGGTCCTAATAAGGGTTCACAATATTAGGTTTGACGCTGCTTTAGTACTTGTGCGAGTATTGAAATAGTTTTAGAGAATGAAGTAGTTTTAGATAATGCACTTTACTCTTTCTTTAATATCCATACCGTACTAGTTTTCACTGTTCATTTATTTGCTATTTGAATTCAAGGAGACTCTTGTGTTGTGTTGTTCCCCGGTCTTCAGAAAGCTGTTAAGCTGAACCTGGGTATGTTAGCAGAGCCTTTCTGTCTAAGTAATGAGATCTGCCAGGGGTGTTCTTTCTGTAAGGTTGTGTGCACTGTATTTAAGAATCTCTCAGAGTGGCACCATTAACTGTTGTTCAATATAGAGAGTTTGTGAAATATTTCAAATTTGGCTCATATGGCTAACATACAGGTATGTGTGCTGCATTAGTATGTGAATTAATCACTACTGAGCCATAGTCTTTTAAAAACCCCTTTTAAAATAGCAGTAGTTAAGTAGCTAGAGGTTGAGGGCAGTAATTACCCCCACATTGTAAATCATAATTACATAAAACAGGATTTCATATTAGTAATTACAAGAGCGTTTTGTTCAATGCAACTTTTTTTGCGGCTTTTGGATTTTGATTTTTTTTTCTTCAAGGAAAATATAAGCCATATGTGTCTTTCTTGTGTGTTTTGGAATACCTTATTTAATGTTTAACGTTTTAATTGCACCTACACCATTCCCATACTTCTAAACCAGAGCATGCAATTTGTTTGTTTATTGTTTCATGTATTTAGACCGAAATCATCTGAAAGGTATAATCTTGAGTGTATTTCTTTAGCAATCAAGTTTCTTTTCAAACATTTTTATGTAGTTAAATATCTTACGGTCACAGTACATGTGCATTGATGGTTTTTTCATTTAGTTAACCTATTTTATCGGTAGTTTTTATGGACAAAGGAGATATCGAAAAATGACTAATCTGGTTATGGAAATTATAGTGCTACTTCAGCTTTGAAGGACCTTGCACAAAGGAATAAACTGTAGCCCTGTGCCTTTTTCCTATAGGACAAACAGACTGGAAGTATTTTGGCTCCAGAGCTACCTTTGTTTTTCTAATTACAGCATCTCTACCAGGGATTATGAGAAGGACGGCATTATGGAATCTGACACATGCAATTTCTTTTCTTCGCAAATGAAAGGGAATGTCAAAAAATGGTAGAAGAATAAAATTTGAGCCTGAAAGTCTCATCCTTATGAATACGTTAATCTTACTGCTTGTTAATTTTGATGTTACTCTTGGTAATAACCAGAATAATAAGAAAATTCATTTAAGCAATCTGTTGATTTGATTTCATGCTGTTATACAGATATACTGCATGTTAAATCCCTTTTCTTCAGAATATTCTCTTCAGAAGGTTAAGACAGAAACACAGCACACGCAGGTCGGAGCTAAATGCTGGATGTGTTCGAGCCTTGCTTGCCAGTAATTTCAGAAGTTTAATAGTATTTTGGGCTTGCAGAAGATAGCTCAATTCCTCCAGTGAAAACCACAAAGTATGCTCAGTTCATCTTTGTGCTTAAATCTCTGCATTCCAGCTTCCAGATGTTGGGCTTTCTCATTTTGATTCAATGCAAGGTTAGTGTACTGACTGGCATGCTGATTAACATTTTGATTTGGTTAACCTAAACCCTTACAATACTAAGTACATGGAAATAACGTATTCAGTCCCAGAGCCCTTTGTTACAGAAAAGCCTGGAGGCGCATCTGCAGAAGAATTGTACAGCGAGTTATTGAAACATGTATGGCATAATCTAATCAAAGCCAAATGTATATGGAAAAAGTCAATTTTCTCATAGTAGTTTAACACAAGGCTTAGATTCAAGTCTCGGGAGATTTTATTTTTGTATACACATTTGATTTGTAAATCAAACCTTAATTTTTTAATTATATACTCTAGTATGCAGAAGGACGTTAGATGTTGTTTCACAGCAAATTACTCAGTGCATAAAAGGCTCTGTGGTCTCTCATGTGTGTGTCCTAAATATTTTTGTAATTTTTTTTCTTGGCTGAAGCTTCTCTGTTGTGTTATCATATAATACATTAAGAACTTGTCAAAGTTATCATCAGCATAAATTTCCATAGCTGTCAGGGATTAAATCTAAGACTGCTTTTTGTGCCTGATTGAATGCAATTCCATTTTAATTTTATCTCCTTTAGTCTTCATACAAAATAATACATCTACTCGTAGTACTATTTAGATAAATCTTCAGTGACGTTTTAATGTGTCTCCTTCTTTACTTCCATCAACAATTTGAAGCAGTTTTCGTAAGTGTTTGTTTGCATAATTAGTTGATGTTTGTTTACTAGATAAACTATGCAAAAACTGGAGCAGGTAGTCTCACTGCACCCTGCACATACAATGTAGAATTTTTAAAAACATTCAAACAAGATTATGTGTCAAAGCAAAATGACGTGAATACACGAATAAGCATCTGCATGTTTTTTTTTCTTCCTTTCAGCACAGATCTCCAGGTGTTATTAAAATATGTCAGCATCCCTCTGCTTGTTTTTTTAGATTTTTTTCTGTGTTTAATGTATGTCTCGCATGTCTTTTCCACTCTATAGAAGTCAAAATTGCACTTTTTTTTTGCATACGTTAGCTGTCTCCGCAGAAAGGGTTCCTTTAAATCCCAGCTAGCTGGTTTCTTTCTGGCTTCTCATCCTGATCAGACCGTCTGGCCTGAAACCGCTGTCGCTGAAATCATGCGCATAAACATTAAGACACGCCAATAATGCCTGAAAGATTTTTTTTTATTTTATCACCTGCATATATTCTCATTTTGAAGATGAGATGGGGACAGGATTTAGTGTAACGTTCTAGCCAGAAGGTGCTTACCTCTCAGTCCTGTCACCCATTTTAAAAGATGCCTTCTGTACACAGTGCTTTCTACCGAACATTGAGAGGCAGATTGCATTGGCTGGTTGCACTACTGTCAGAAACCTTGGTGTTTAAGAACATCACTGTGGCTCCTGTGACTCCGGACTTTGAG